CATTGCTAGGAAAAATAATTTAAAATCATTTTCCCTGCAATTTACTAGTGATTTACTGTGTGAATTATATGATGTCCTGATTGCCATAGTGATTAACATCGTGCTACCATATGGAGCCCAAGCTTTCTCTACTGTGGTGGTAGAGGAAGACAGATATGTCGCATCCCTAGGATGTGCTTCATTAAAACTTGCATGGAGTTATTATACATTTAGTACAATGGAACTATATCTGTGAGACAATTTGGTGAAATTCTGGTGCTCGGCCCACATCTTCTGCTCTATAATGTGTGGATAATTACTTATTCCAGTGAAAATGAATCTTGATATTGTTTTTTCATTTTTATAAACTAACAAAAGAAAACTAAAAGATCTTTTAAAATATCAGTTTATAATTATGTTGTTCACTTGCACTCCGAAATGGAATCCAAGAAAGTTGCATTTTTAATTGTGTGACAACAGAAAATTTACAGAAGAAAGAATAGAATCCAGGTTGATTTGGTTTGGTTTATTTAATGATGACAAAGGACTCATGGACTATCTGCCTAAGATGAGGAATGCCTTCGTGGAGGACTTTCAGGAGGGAACTGGCTCACATACACAGAATAGAATCCAGAGTATGATGCAAATGAAATTATGTAAAATGCATACTTCGTTCAAGCAGATCTGACTGAAACTGGTATTTGATTGGTTTGGTTTATGTGATTACAGCAAAGCCTTGAGGGCTATCTGCCTAAGGGAAGGGATGACTTCATGAAGGACTTTCCAAGGGAAACTGGCTTGTATACAAGTTACACATATCACTGATATTTGAAAACTGCTGCACTAATGGTATGGAAGAAAATCGTTTTTCATTAGTAAGTAAGCACAGAAAAAACACAGTAAAGTAAGTAAGGCAAGTTGGAATAGTAAGCAAAGAATCTGCAGTAGAATAGATATCAGGTTTTTGTTAGAAAGTAAGCAAATAATCAATGGTAGAAAAATTTGTTAGAAAGTAAGCAAATAAGTAATGCAAGTGTGAAATAATAGACAAAGAATCATTAGTAGAACACATAAAGTATGATGGAATAAATAATCTAAAAATTAAATTTGCGAGACTGATATGTAGATATTATATGAGTAACTGACGGCGACTTTAAGTATAAATACAGTTGATTATACAAAGAAGTGGCAGACTAATTTAATATAAAGCAGAATTTTTTTACAGCATGATAATTTGAATGATAAATTATATTTGCATATATTTTACCTGCAGAATAATTTGTATAGGATTACTGAAGTAGAAATTCCCCTAAAGATGACAATTTTCAGCATACTTTTTGTTAAATATAAAAATCATTTTAATAGTTATCTGCGAAATGTTCAGAAAGTAGATACAATTCTACACTAGGTATTTTATTATGCAAAAAATGAAATATTTAGACAGAATTTATCTTTCATAGCTTGTATGAAAGGGTACTTTTCTGTTATTGGGATCGGATTCAGAAATATCCGTATACAGTCAAAAGTCGTTAATTCGGACCTCAAAGCTCCAAACTTTCTGTGCATGCGTCACATTGACGCATGCGCATAAGACCTTTACGGCTGCGCATGCGCATAATACGTTTACGCATGCACATTTAATGTATAATGGACGGTATAAGCTAAAATTATCTAATTATCTATTTCAGTTAATGTTGCAGATTGCGTTGTTCCTTAATCTTCGAATAGGATTCGGTTTATTATTTTTTGCAGACTGTTAAGAGCAATTTTATAAAAGTAAGCTTGAACAATTATGTCAAATAGAATTTCTGATGCTGGAGCTGCCAAAGGATCAACAAAGTATGTTTCGATGTCTATCAAACAAAAAGTGGAATTGCTGCAAAAAATGGATAAAGGCATATCCTTTATTTCTCTAACCATTCCGAAATTTGTTTATCAATTTCACGCTGCTCTGCGGCAGGGGGGGGGTATGCCACAGCGCGCAATGAATTGGAAGTTGATCTGTCAGCACTATCCTTATCTTCAGGGCAGATGTTTTATTTTATTTGGCTTATAATTCCTTAATAAATGTAGTATTTCATCTCGATGTACTCCATCTTTGATATGATATCATATTCCTCGTCATTGTAATTCGCTTCCAATAGTGAAGAAAGTGACACAGAAGTTATTGAAAATGAAAACATTTCGATTGACAAATTAGTCGGTATTCTCGACAGAGCAATTATAGGCCTTGAACAGCAGAAATTATGTCTGTTTATAGAATTAAAGAGAAAGTATTATCACAGAAAACGAAGCAACTTAAACAACTTACATTGAAAGAAATGTTTAATAAAGTAAGCAAATAAATATTAAAGCTTTTTTTTTTTTTTTTTGTAATTTTGATACCCTTTAGATCATAATTGTTCTTTATTTCATAAATTACGGTTTCATATTTTTAATTTTATAATTTTTCATGCCATCTAACCAGATTTAAACTGATGATCTATAATCCAAAAAATCGATAATCCGGAAATGCTGAAGTCCCGACGAGTCCGGATTAACGAATATTGACTGTATATGCATGCACACTGTTAACAAAAAAACGCGACAGTTCTATATCTCCCGTTCTACTGGGCCAATTGGCAAAATTCAAATTGTGTTTTTCAGGTCTCAAAAGCACAACTTAGGATATATATTAAATTTATATATAACATCATTCTAACACAGGTATTTTGACACAAAATCAGACTTTTTCTGAAATTATATGCCAATTTTTTTCCATATTTTGATTCTATGATTCAAATTATGTCTAAATATTAAATTTTGTCAAATTTAGTGCAAAATTACGGAAAAATTCAAAAATTTATCTTGGCGTATTTTTTCAGGTTTCGCCAACAATAATTTACCTGGCAAACTTTTTAATTTATAGCAACCTATTTTCCTTTTCTTTTTTTCATTGTAGACAAGCAGGAAAAAGTCATATCTCATATTTTCGAAGAATTTTAACAAAGCGTGTTAGAACACATTTATCATTATCATCACTCAAAAAAAAAAAAAAAAAGATGCCAAATTTCAAAACACTTCAACATGTAAATTAATGTATATTGCAGAAAATTTTGAATAAAAAACTATTAATTTCTTGCAAGTGTGTTAAGAAATACATCTACTTTAAGACAATGGTAAAAATCTTATAGGTTACATTACAAAAATTGCTTCGAAAAATTTATAAAAAATAAATTATAAAATATGTGCGAATTATATTTGGATTAAGCCTACATTTTGAATTCTAGAAGGACTAGAGTTAAGTTTAATAAAATTTGGCATTATTTGAGTCATAGACTTGAAATATGGAAAAAAAAATTGTCATGTCATTTAAGAAAAAGCTTGATTTTGTGCCAAAATACCTATATTAGAAGAACGCTATATATAGAGTTAATACATATCCTAAGTTGCGATTTGGATACATGAAAAACGCAAGTTGAATTTTGTCAATTGGCTCAGTAAAACGGGAGATATAGAACTGTCCCATTTTATTTATTTATTTATACATGCAGTGTACATATGCATATATGTACATCATGTATGCAGTGTACATATGCATATATGTACATATGTGCACACACACATACATATGTACATACACACATTTCTGAATTCAGAGCCAATAATAATAAAGTACATATGATGGCAAACATTCTACAAGCAAATCACCTTGTAACTCTGTTCATGTAATTAAAAAGATATTCATATACATATTCAAAGTTTTTGTATTTCTATTTAAAAATAACACAAGGATTTCCTCAAGTTTAATATGTAATTAGCGCATTTGTTTAGAGTCTGGGATATAATTTTCTCTTATGCACCTGCCACACATTTTGGCATGTGTGTGCATGCCTGTGTTATATGTGTGTGTGTATACTTCCATGCTAATTTTCCATTATGCACACCCACACATACCAGAATGTATGGCAGACACATAATGGAAAAGTATTAAGTTTAGCACGTACATACATATTTTGAAATAGTAATACATATTACAAATTTTGAAAACGTAGTGTTTCTAAGTTAGTCAACATATTTAACTGCGAGCGCTTGGTAGAAATTAATCAGTAACTTGCCCATAACATAAAAGTATAATATGTTTCCCGAGCAGCTAAACACATTTAATGGCTACCTCTATTGCTCTAGTGTAGAATTTGGTGCTCCTTCGATTAGCGACAATTTTTTTTTTAAAATTTTGGCGAAGAAATTTCATTTTTGGTTACCATGATAGTTTTAACTTTGTTTTAGCTTCCTGATTTTTTTTAAATGAAAATAGATTGATGTGTACATGGACAAATTTAAGGCAGTGCGCAATGCCTAGTTTGTGCAATTCTGGGATGTTTTTTTAAGTGAAAAAAGATCGCTGTGCACATGGACACACAGTTTGTGAGATTCTTTGACTTCTTATTTTGTTTTGTGTAGCGTCCATCTTGAAATTGTGCCTTCCTGGCGTCAAAAAAAGAATCGCCAATAAACACGGGGCACCCAGTTGTAAACTTTCTATCGATTTTCACGTCTGTAATTGATTAGTAATTAGGGTAAGCAAGATTTTTTTCGTAATATAATAATAGTTTTAATAAATACTAGTCAGCTTCTCATCTTTAATACTAATCACATTTAATTTTTTTATTATTGTTAAATGATACCACTTCGTCAGTAGCAATAAGAAACGCAGTGTATGCAAATTTAATTAATTCTTTAAAAATTTAAATGTTTAAAAATACCAATATTTTAATCAATACAACGATGTGTATTATATTATATTTCAATTCCCTTTATCAGCACTTATACTGATCTTGAATTTGTAGAGCATAGAAAAAAATTAATGATTTTTCATACTATGGAATTTTATACTAAATTACATCCAACATATTAGCATATGTGTATAGCACAGTGTATCATGACGAATATACTGATTATGAAAATTGATTATAATGAAAATATTTGCAAAATGAGAGGGGGAAAAACACGTAAATATGAATGTAAACAAATCATAACACCTTTTCACTTTTGCTAATGGAGACTAATATATGTGATTTCATTACAGTTTCAGATTTGAAGTATACGGTACATTTAAGCACTTATTTTTTAAACACTGAAATCATTGTAACAACCAACAATTCAATATAAATTTAAAATTTAACAACAACAAGAACAATTTACACTACACTTCTTCCATCCAACAGCGGACAATTCGTTGTTAAGTTGTTCTACTGCTACTCCAATCATTTCGATTTTACAATTTTTTAATAATTTTATGAAAGTTACTTTAGCAGAACTATAAATAAATGTTCACCCCGGTGAGAATAATAATAAAATAAGAATACTTCAATATCGTTTCGGTATTTAACGAACTTAAATAAGTCCCAGTCAACCTAAAATTACAAAGCACCTAAAAACAAAGGAAGAAAGAAAAGAGAGACTCCAGTTCTGCTGTAGTAAATTATTTTATAGATTAAAAAAAATTAAACCGCATAAAATAGACTAAGTTTGAATTAAATCATGAATCAAATGTTACACAACTTATCCAAAAAAAGTATCGGCTAAATCGCAGAATAGGCTGCATCAGTCGATGCTGTGTTTACTTCTCTTATTGTTACGAAGAACACAGAAAATATATAAATCAATATATTTAAAACAGTTCGTTCAGTTGCGGGCCTGCCTCTACCCGAGGCTGGTGCATTATGAATAAAGAAAAAAAATTCTTAATAAATCATTCTTTATTTCCATCAAAACAGTATCACTCTTCCGAGCTCAGCTTTCGTTCGTCTACAAGCAAAACATTCGCGCGACAACCAAGTCGGCAATTTTAGTTCCCTGGGATATTCTCCATGAATGACCTCGCGTCAACTCTCGAATCTCTTTAACCCTTTCGACGAAACGGACCATTTCTTCTCTGTTATCCACCAAAGGGCAGTGGTTGAATCAGACCAGAAGGTAACTTTTAATCGGGCAAACTGAGAGCTTTGATAATAGAATTTGCAAGTCTAGAACCTATCCAACAGGCCTTAATTCTAAGCGAGGAATGCTTAAAGATTTCAAAGGCGATACTCTAGACTTCGCCCGTACGAGATTTATTTTTACTTCAGAATTAAATATTGATCGACAAGACGCCTCTGCATACGCCCCCTTGCAAGCACCACAAATACATGTAGTTCAGACGTGTCATGATAAACAAGTATCGAGGCAAAGTAACATCTTTCAAAACATTAAGTTCTTTAAACCAGTTCAAAAATATATTTACATCATTCGGAGACAATTCATCATCCCATGCATTTTCACTTTCCACAATTTTTGCAACAACAGTTTTGGAAGCAATGTAGTTGGTTATTAAACCAATAGGATCAAAATTGTCTGCACAATTGCCAAATTGTCCTCTTTGTGATTTTTGTATCACAGTCATGTATCTGTGTCTGTGCAGCACTCAGCGTATCATTATCCAAATTACCAAATTACCCCCAAAACGGAAGTATCCCTGAATGTTTGTTCAACATTTGTACCACCACATTGCTTCAAAACCGCGCAAGTTAAAACATCCATTTGACATGATTAATTTGGAATGTTCAATAAACATAAACTGTTCATCAATACTAAAAACACTAGATAAACAATTATCCACATAAAATGACGATTTCATTTTTGAGCAACTTCACTATATTGACGTGGACAGTTTTCTAATAGATGCATTATAGATGCGTTCAACAAGTAGGGGCTCGAAGAAACTCCAACACAACTCTGCAATGCCTATAAATTAATTTCTCTTCATTGCATGGGAAAAAAATCTGAGAAAATCTCTATCTTTAGATGCGACGGATAACATTAAAAAAGCCTTTTCAATATCGGCACTAATACCAATCGGATACATTCTAAAACGATCTATAATATCAGGTATTAATTCAATAAGATTTATTCCTTTAACACAAACATCGTTCAAAGAGAGTCTCCCTTTCTCAGATGCAGAGCGTCAAAAACCAGACGAATTTTCGTGGTTTCACTTCCTAATTTGATTACAGGCCTATGCGGCAATAATGACATTCATTATTCAATTTCGTTTTCTGGTACGCGTTCAATAATATTCAACCTTTCCCATTCTTTGAACCATTTTGATAATCATCGAAAAATTTACTACATCTGTTTATAGATCATCTTTGATACCTTTTCCAGGATAATTCTTTATTATCGGTTAATGTGTCGTATCACATTTCACGGAAGTTCTACTTATCTTCCATTTGGAAGAATTTTCATTTTGTTCTCAAATTCAAGAATAAAAAAACTTTCATTCATTTTAACAGTTTTCGTTTGAAGCGCATATTCCTATTTTTCAAGTTCCCATAACTCATTCAGAGGAATTCTCCTGACATGCATTGAAAATGTTTTCAAAATATTATCCTTTTCACCCGAATTTCGTTTGCCAAATACCGTCCATCCAGTTTCGTTTCGACAAGCACCCCGGACTGTAATCAATAGATTTCCCGTCAATAACTTTCCTATAACATCTGCTCCGATTAAAAGGTTAATTTCATTTCCTTTCGCAATGGATCCGAAAATTCGATTCTTTCTTTTAATTCATTCAAAATCTCTTTATCCTTAACCTTAGGAATAAAACCGCAAATCTTTTTTTCCAAATATATTCCTCGATAATGCTCAAACTACATGCGAATGTTTTCCTTTAAATTGCTGACCCTCGACCGAAAACACTTCATGTTGTTTAGGTTTCGTTTCGTCCCCCCCAAACATGCATGTATAACTGTCTCCTCCCCGAAGTGGAGATGCTTTAAGACCTCATCATATTTTCACTAACGTAGCTACTTTGGCTTCCACTATCAATTATGCAGCGAATAATTTTCTCGCGACCTTGACACCGAATTCGAACGCAAAGCGTTTGCAAAAATACAGTTTCGCTTCTGCTACAGTTAAAAGAGACTCTCTTTTGAAACATTTATCTGATCATTATTTTTTAGCTTTTGATTACACATTACATCAAATGATTACAACTTTTGCAAATAGAACACTTAACTTACCTTTGAAAGGACAAAATTACTAATATGACTCCTCTTTCAGACAAGAAAAACAAGCACCTTTTCAACAACAATTGTTGTTTTCAGCTAAAGTCATTTTTTTTGCAGAGTAACATTTTTCACTAAAATGTTTCTTTTCACAAAAATTACAGTTCGGAACACTCTTAACCTGAATTCTCAAGACTTACTAGAGCTGATGCTGTTACGGGATCATTTTGCTTTACCTTTCTGTGTTATAATCTTTCTTTCGATGGTTCTGTTGGAGCGAAACCAGTTCTTGCGAGGGAGAACCATCTCTTCCCCCTTAACTTCCTGTTTAAGAAATTCATTAATATTTTCAAAGATCGATTCCCTTTAGTTTCAATGGAGTCGTGATTTCTGCTTCTTTCCCATGCCCATCAGTACTTCTTCTGGTAAGCAACTTCCACTAAGGGGGTCAAAAATCCCCATATTTTCTTGGGTTCTTCCCAAACTTTCCAACGCTCGCAATTTTCCTTCTAGTTCATCATACAGGGAGGGTAGATCCGTTTTTGCTCTTCCGGTTACAGCGTTCTTCATCACTAGCTTAAACAGTCTCTCACATAGATTTGCACAAGTCAATCTTCGCGTCCAAGCGCTCTTTTAGTTGTTCGATGGCTTTAGGATAATAGCTGCCGTTGCCGGGAAGCTAAGGACTAGGCGTTCTGCTTTCGATTGGGTTCCATGGCCTGCATAAATACTGCATTTTATCTTCATCGGCGATACTTTTGTCATCGTGGGATTTTCTGAAACTGACTCCAAAAGTCAGTAATCTTAGCTTCACCACTGAATTTTTTAAGCTCAATTTTAGGCAATTTAAATTTCCTAGATTCGAATTATTTGAAGGAGAAGAGGCTTGTATTTCCGCATCTATTTGAGCACACTGTTCTAGAAACTTATCTCGATAATTCTCCCGCTTCTTGAAAATCATCACTAAATATTTTCTCCATCTTCAGTCTGCAGAATTTGCTGCGATAAGCACTCTGCAACGTAAGGTCAAGTCTCTGGAATTTATTCACAAAGTTGACACTTCAAATCGAAAGTATTTTCAAATCTCTTACTTCTTTAGTTAATTCACTTTCGGTTTTCCTTGAGGTTTGCGAAAACGCAATTCTAAGTCCTTTTCTTTGAGCCTTTAAAGCGATCAAATCCATCTTCAAAGTATATTCAAAATCGAAATTCAATAACAAAAGTTCAATCGGAAAATTCTAATTCAACAGCACCCGGTCCCACCGAGGGTACCACTATGTTACGAAGAACACAGAAAATATATAAATCAAATATATTTAAAACAGTTCGTTCAGTTTGCGGGTCCTGCCTCTACCCGAGTCTGTGCATTATGAATAAAGACAAAAAATTCTTAATAAATCATTCTTATTTCCATCAAACAGTATCACTCTTCCGAGCTCACTTTCGTTTCGTCTACAAGCAAAACATTCGGAGACACCCCCCGCAGGCTGACTTCACAAGCAGCAGCGCTCGCGCCGGTTATTACTTCAGTTCATTTCACAACACTTATGCTTGGACACGCCTTTTTATGACTTTAATATTGGTTACGCCTTTTCTTAAAAACAAGTTACAAGTATCCCAAAGCTTCGTATTTAAAGAAAACTTAAATTATATTTTAAGAGTTGAAATGTTAGGTTTATAATGTTCTGCGCAAGAGTTTTTTAATTATAAATCTACTTTTGTGTGCTGTGCGGTAGTGTTAGCATTTAATGCAACGAATTATCTCTCACAAATGTATTATAGTTCAGTTAGGTTCAGTTTTGGTTGATACTTCTATAGATTTATAATTCCTTTTGACTACTACTATTTCCCCTTGTTCAAATGACAGAGATCCCGATTTCTTCTTGTCATAATAAGTTTTCATTTTCTCTTGCTCTCTAACAATTTTTTCTGGCTTCTTTTTGTAGTTTTTCCGGTTCCTTCCAAACTTCTCCTACTTGAAATTGTGGTATATATCCATGAAGTATTTCAAATGATGTTTTTCCAATAGTTTTATTGATTGTATGAAGAATTAATCTATGAAGAATTACCTTTTCCTTGCCAAAGTTTTGAAATTCCTTTGAAGTGAAACAAGAACCTCGATCTGATATTATATGATCTGGTAATCCAAATTCTCCTATGAAACTCAGCAATGAAATCAGTAGATGATTT